ACACTTCCACAACCACACTCCCCTAGACACCCCCACATCCACCCACTAGCCTCATACACACCTCCCCATCCACTCATACATGCTCCTACACTCATACCCCCCACAAACATCAGACCCACCCACACAGACTCCCACACCCTCCACACACCATCACAAACATCCCACACTCACTTACAAACCCCACACTGACACCCCTCCATATCCACTTCTCCCCACCCCCACACCCCCAAACACTTTCACAACCCCCACCAACCGTACATATACCCCCATCAAATCCCATGCACACACCTCTCACACTGACCCCCCCCACCCACATACAGTATACAAGAGTAAGACGCAATTTTGAGCTATTAAGCAATCACTTCGATAGACAGTATGCAAACACATGTAAATCAGGACAAAAATAAATGTTCACTGGCACTACTGCACAGTAACTCAGTTACCATGCATTTATTTAGTACTTTCTTATACAAATACTAAATAAATGTGTAGTAACTGCTGCAGAGTACTGTCTCGTGTAGACATGACCACTTTCTCCTTAAGTAATCCATGGTTCCTTATTGCTTAATAATGCCATCATTTCTCTCAGTCTCTGGAACAATGTTCTCTTCATTTTCCACCTTCATTTTACTTAATTGCTTTTACATTCCATTCAATTTTATAATATTTATGTATTATATCTTTCATAAGACTTTTCTTTGTTTTGATTACATTTTTCATTTTATGCTTCTCTCATTCTTCCATATCCATGTTTTGTTTTGTTCTTATTTCTGGCTAAGTCATATGCAGAAACATTTAGAGTATAAAAAACCTATCTGTATCAGCATGTGACACACAATTTGAAGGTGAACAGAAATAAATAATAAAATTCACACATTTTGTATAACTCGTTTCTTGCCAGAACATGTCACTAATTCAGTTTATATTTGAGAAATTGTTTTGCTCATCAATCAAATGCACCTGCTGCTATTGAAAATTAACACATGGGGAATGGAATCAGTCCAGATTCCAAGAGAAAAGTACCCCTGCCTGAATTACCAACATTCCTGCTAGTCTGAACTTTGTACCCATCCAAGTTTCCTCTAAAGAACTGCTGAATCCACAGACTCTTTCAGATCTCCATACCAACACAACAGAGCTTTTTTCTTCTTCTTTTGTGTTTTGGATGAAATAAAACAACTGATCTTAGAGGTGGGCTAGCAAGAGAATGACCCTGTCTAGTCATTGCATTCAGCAGGTAAGAATCAGGTGATCATTTCCTGGAAGGATGTGGCTGGGAATATCATGATTATATGGATATTTTAACTGGAAAAATAAGTATCCCCAAAGTAGGAGTGGAAGAAGGTAACCATTCAAATGCCAAAATTGGCCAGAGAAAGAAAGAAATGTATCTGGATATGTGGAGCTGGTGAATGGCTATCTACAAGTAGTGCGAAATATTTCTCAGCAATGGAAAAGCTTTGCATTATAGTTCTGAACAAAATGTACAATTACAATGAGACATGTAGACATGCACACACACGTAGTGGTCATGTGCCCTTGGTAAAATAATATTCTTAAGAGTGAAAAGATTTGTGTATGAAGAATTAGGTCCAAGAATGATGTTTTAAGTATGTATTTTGGCCTTTTAAAAGAATCTTCAGTCAGGAGTTGCATACATTATGCCATTCACAGTGTGTGAAATTAGTTTTACACACTGCATATGCAAAAATGATAAAGCAAGTTTGTTTGTTTCTGTATATGTGGCAGGGCTTAATGGCATTAGTTAAAGTTAAAATGGAGGTCCTGATTCTATAGAGATTTACACAGTTGAGTGTTTTCAAAAGGCCTGAAATAACAAATGGGTGTTTGAAAGAACATGACCCTTATTTTATTTTATATTTCCATGAATTTTGTTGTGAATCTCAATATTAATTCAACATAGTTATTTTGTAAATTGTATATGTATTAGTAAATACCTGAATTCTCCACCACAAAAAACAGCTGTAATGCATTGTGTTGTTCTCTTCTAGACAGTTGAGCATATACAGTTATAGTAGAAGAATGTCCATTGTTATGTTATAGTTTAAACAGTGTTCCCTTTAAAAAAAACTTCATTAGAATCATTTATTGACTAAGTAATACTGAAATACTATAGATCTCTGGCACAAGGTAAATTAATATTTTAAAACTGATGCCACATTACTAAATATTAACATTAGGATTAAAAACAATCGCACAGTGCCAAGAAAAGCTAGATTTAGGGCCAAAGAAATTGGATTTTGAAATACATTTATGTTTTTTTCTTCAAGCATTTAAGTTTGGGGAAGATGTGATTGAGAGAGAGCTTTTTGCCTGGTATAGTGTGTGTCAGGGGGTTTGCCCCAGGGGATAAGAAACAAGCCATAGAGTCGATTTTAGTTTCAGTACTAGACAAAAATCTCTTGGCTTATCTAGGTAATGTTAAAAGGTTGAGAACAGCTACAGATCTGTTAAATCATGCTTTGCAGCAAAACAACTTTCAAAATTTCTTTATACAGTCAATTTATATATTTTTGATGGCTATGTAGCTTTCTTCTGTATGAACTGGGCATTTTAGGAGCCAAGTGTACCACTGGGTCCCCTGAAAATTTCTTCAGGGTCAGTACAAATTGAAATATTATGTAAGTATACAGAGGGTGAGGTTTCCAATGCCTTTTGAAAAGGTGACTTATGACAGAAACTACATCTCATGACAATTTCAGCTCCTTTCTCCCTACATTTTCATCGTCTTATTTCCATGTCTCTATAATTCACCTACTGATTGGACATACATTTTATTAGATAGTTCAGGGTAAACAAACCTGCATGAATAATTTTGCACTAAAAGCAGAACTAGGATATGCTAACTTTTTTCATTTGATTTTGATGAAAAGGCAAAAAACAAATCAAAACAAACAAACAAAAAAATTTTCCTTGGTGCAGCCAACATAAACTGGCAAGATTCTTCTTTTGTTTCCTAGATCTTTAAAATATTTTAAAAAATTAGACATTTAATCACATGTAGAATAATTTTTTTTTACTTTTTGAAAAACTGGAAACAGCGAGCAAATGTTCTAATTTTGCCTTGGAAAATTCTGAATAAAATAGTAGAAACTTTATGCTATTAAAGTTAATAGTTAAAATATCTAATAAATGAAAGATGTCTACATGATTTAAACGAACATAGGTCTTTTGCAGTCCATGATGCTATACTGATAAACAAGCACTTGGGGGTTACACAATACCATTGTATACTGTTGTGGCACCTTATAGCCAAATAACTTTTCAAACAATAACCAGTAGCTGCTTGTCCTGTGCAAAATCAAATGTAAGAATCAATGCCCATAATTTTAAGCTCCATTGAATCAGCTAAATTCACACATTGTTCATGTTATCAGTCTATAGGATAATCAGCAATTCAGAGTAGATAAGAGTGGGTGCATTTACATGAGACACTAACTGCACAGTAGCTAAATAATATTATGCAGTGGCACATCACAGCACAAGCAGTACTAATATGCTACTGTGCAGTATTATTAGGCTATTGTACAGTAGCATCACTAAATAGGCATTCTCCAGTGCTACTGCACAGTAGGGGCATGCAAAGCAGGCCCTATTCAATTCAGATTAGTATTCAGCCCGAACCAGGGACAGTGATTCGATTAATTGATTCAGATCCCTGTCCCTGATTTGATTCGATCAAATCTGAATCTGAAGATTTGATGCTTATTCAGATAATTAACGATTTGGATACAGACACAGCTTTTAAAAGTTTTTTCTACATCCCTCGAGGTACCAGCGTGGCTTGTGAACACTGTGATGCTGAGTCAGATCGAGTGTCCCACATGAATGCAGGGGGCCCTCCACATGCTTGGCAGTGAACCCAGAAGTGGATTGGAAGTACCAATTCAATTCGGAGAAATTAAAGAGTCTTCTGATTCAATTCAAATTCGCCCACTGAATTGGGTCGAATCTCTGCCAAACTGAATCAGGGACTGAAGCTTTGCACAACCCTACTGAACAGTAATTCTGGTTACTGCACATTTATTTAGTACTTGCTTATACAAGTACTAAATAAATGCGCACTAACTACTATGCAGTAGTGTCTCATGTAGACATGCCTTTTGGGGGCCTAAAAAATACCTTTAGGGACTATGATCACTGACTGCAGAACCTGATAATCTGCCAAAAGAAACTCCCTGCAGTTCTTTCATTGAGGAAAGGGCAAGACCAAAAGTTGGGTTGCCGGTAGCTACATTCAGTAGCTACACCCAGCTACTTTTATAAATCCACAGACTGAAGTCAGAGTCTTTCAGCTCTTATCTCACATTGTTTTGAAAGAAAAATAAAATAAAATAAATACACGGTTCTTTAACAAATAGCTATCTTTCAAGACTAATCATGACGTATTTTGCTATTACAATGCCACAATGCATCAGATACTACACCTTGTGGATATTTGCAGATGGTACTTACATTGTATAATTGTCAGATTCACCCCTGCAATGATACAGAGCAGTACACTGTAGACTAGCTTTTTGACATGTGTATGACTTTTTACCACCTTTTCTGCACACACTTGCCAAATAGCCTAAGACTGTTTGAAGAGCATCTGCTACTTTGGGTAGAGTTGTCCATTCAGGCTGCAAGTCTCCATCAGCCTTTTCCTATCCACATGGCTCCAGATTTGCTAATGATTTTTATTTTTTTGAGAATCCTTGCTGTTAGCTGTTTCTTCTAGGGTTGCTCAGTGAAAACAATTTATCGGTGCAGCTTGGGTGGAATGTTTTGAAGAATCTTGTTTTTACTGATTCTATACTGGCACATTGTAAGTTGTGACATCACTGGTGTGGTCATAAAAAGTAAACTGTTTAAGCCTGTGCAAGATCATTAGTTTTTAACAGACAGATTATTCTTTAAATTTCATAGTGCTTTTGTGATATCATCAACACTTTCCCTATGTCTCTGGTATATATTTTTACACCTACCTATGAAGACTAAAATTACATCACAGACTATTAGGGCATAGAGCACTGGAAACATAAGGATTTTCTCTTGACTTCAAAAAAAGCAAAAGCTTTTTCCTGTACCAGATTAATTGGAGAGCATTGGGTCTTCCGGTCTTATGGCTGGTCCAATGCATTGGGTGTCAACAGTAATTACTGTAGTATGATACAGCTGCTATCTTCATTTTTATTTTGCATGTGCAGATATGTCCTACTACTATCTGCTTCTTTGTGATTTCAAGGTTCAATTTCTGATGCATCCTGAAGCAGTAATGACAACACATTTTCACTAGTTCTAATCACGATTGTCTTCTCCGATGATTTAAACTTCTCATCTAAAACTTGCTAAACGCAAAAAGAGTTCCATCTTATCACTGTGACAGAAACAACTTGGCCATGATGATGAGTCTAATTTATATACTTTAACCAAGATATTAAGTCTTGACACATTTTAATATCTCACCAATATAGGGGATAACCTCATTTGATAGTAATTTCTGAAAATTATATCTATGTCTATACATAGAATATTGATAACTGCTGCTGTATCAGTCACAATATTGGCATTAAGTGGATCAGCTCAACACAAACAGAGGATATACGAGTTTTAATGACAAAAAGAATCATCTCTGTTCTGACAGGCACTGAATATTTTTTGAAAGTAAAGCAGCATATTTAAGAAATTGTTGGGTGTTTTTCAGCCAACTTTTTGGGAAATTAAATATAAACAAATTGTATCTGCAAATTGTCTCAGATACAATTCAGAAGTATTTTGGTCACAATATCATTTTATTGTTTAAAACTAACATCTTCCATTATATTTAGATTTTCTACAGATGTTCCTTTACACAGAAGTCATGTGTTGGGAAGTACCAAAGAACTGATAGAACCTTACACAAATAAATTTATATATTCTTGAATAAACGTACTAAATAATGAGCAAATGTTTTCACAGAATTTCTTCTGAAACGTGACACATGGCTCATGGTCACATTATTGTCAATTGTGAAAATATCTTTGAAACAATACTTTAAAGTGATCAGTCCTGAAATAAGATGATGATTACAAACAGTTTCATTTAAAGTGACATTAGTAGTGTCTCTGACATTCTGTATGCTCCTAATTAAGTGCTCCAGTCTCTGTGTACATAGAATTTTTGGTAGAAGACTGAGTATATATCATACACAGGTTGATCTCTACATAGTTTTGAGAAATAAGCATTCTAAGTTTATGATGTCTATCACAACCTTCATAACAATTTTATTCATTGCTAATATGGTTACTATGACAGATCTTGGTATAAAATTACTTAATTAAAATAGGCTCAAGTCTAGAGTACCAGTTTCTGGCAAAGAGGGTGCCATTATGATATAATTAATATATTATACTGCGTTATTTTGAAGTGGCCACATATCTTAAAATCACTTAGATTATACAGATGTATCAGTATTATAAGCTTCATTTTCTTAATATCAAACCAAAACCTTGACCACTTTTATCACAGATTGATTCCACTAATATGCCCATAGCAGTTTCTGTTGTTCTGACTCCCTCTGCACTGTACAGCTTGATGCAAAAGGAGCATATGAGCCAATAAATATGGTCACAGTGTCCCTGTAAATTAGATGAATGTAATTACACCAACTTTATAGTTGGGTAAGCAGAGACCCAGACAGGCAAACCTGGCAAAAAATGGGCACAACTGAACTGATTTCATCATTGAGTCATTTGCTTATCAGAGTGCCAGTGTAAACCTGGGATAGAATGGTTCAATGACTTGTCTGCTGGTTATTAAACATCTTTCAACTTCTTACTGAACTTTTTAAAAACTGATTAATTACATGCTATAACTATAATTTTATGCCTGGCTATAACAAATAACCAAAAAGAAAAGAAAAGAAAAAAAAAAGAAACATCATAATGTGCAGCTTCATAATTCTACTTTCCCCATGTAACCAGTAATAAAATAGTCCTTTCATACTATATTTATTTCAGGGTGATCAAATGAGGGGCATTATTTAGAATAATGTGGTAGTATTTATTTATCTATGAATGATCCCCATTAACAGAGGAAAAATACTGTATTTCCCAGAATATTCCTCTTATCCTAAAAATCCAGAAAGAGCACTGCTATTAGAATGGAAAATGAATATTCACTTTGGAAACATGCTTGCTTTTTGAATAAGTCATGTTGCACACAGTTAAAATGGAATAACCCACATCATAAATTATTGCTGTTAAAATGAATACTTGATATTAATCCTGAGAAATGCTTTTTGCCATCAGTGTTTGAAAGAAGCAGGAGCTGTGTAGAAGCCAAATCAATTTGCATTGCTTGAAAACACTTAGGTTTCCCCTACTGATGAATTAGCAAGCACTTTGGCTCAACTCCACATTGTAGTGTTGTTCATGTTTACCCAAAAAGCAACAGTGCAAAAAGGTACAGTATGTGATTTGGAAATAAATTGATACTGTAGGTCAATAAAAAATTGTAAGTTAAGATTGCAAAAAAGAAATGAAGTTATTTTGACCCAAATATTTGACACACATCTTATCACACAGCATACACCCAAAAAGGGTGTCTGCTATTTTACTTCTGTGAAGAGACATTTATTCTGATGACATTAGGGGTTTCTTTATACTTGCTAGGCCAATTTGTCAACCACTAGACTTCTCCAACACTGGATTTACCTTTGCAAATGTCAGGCTACCTCCTGTTCTCTTGCTTTTACCAAGGATGTCTTTCTTTTTCTTTCCTCTGACCCATTGCCTCCTGATTCATACGTGTGCCACTTGCCACCACCTGGCTTATTGCCTGAATTATTTTCAGTGCTAGAGATGCCACTGACTGTACTACATTATAAATGATAAATAAAATGATAAAGCAACTACTTACAGCTATTCCTAAGGGAATCAGAGTATTATTTTTCCTATTTGAGAAAAAAAATATTACTTGACTGGGTGGAGGAATTGATGCAAACTACATATGCCATTATGTATACCAATGCTTGTCCTTGTGAATGATGCCTATTGAAAAGAGGTATCCAAGGGCAGAAATGGGGACTATGAATGCAAACTTTTGAATACAGACATACTAGACTTTTCCCCTGCATAGAAAGGATTTAATTCTTCCTCTCTCTCCAAGAAGTAGTTGCCACAGTTGGGGAGGTATTACATAAAAATCTTTCAGCAAGAATCACTCTTCAGTGATCATCTATCACAAAAATAGTGTTATTAACATTTAGGTGAGAATATGAGGAAGAAAGCCCTCAAAGAATTTCCTTAGCTAAGCTGTTCGTGAATACACAATTCAGGAAGACAATAGTATGCTCCTGCAATTTTCTTTCTGAATATCCTATTTTCTCCTGCTACTTCCTACCTTTTTCTTGAGTGGTGTGTCACTTCCCTAATTTCTATCTTGTCTCCATTTTTATGGTTATAAAATTGTAGTAAAAATCCTTAGCTAAAGCTATAACTGGGGTTTTAATAAACTTGAGGATGAAGCTGGCCAATTTTCTGGGCAGATTTTGGGGCTGACCACTGTGACCACCGGGCTTCAAATAACCGCTCTCGAGCGGCCTTTGCTCTACTGGTGGATGTCAAGCATCTCCAGGGTTCAGGTCGTTGCCGGAGTAGTTCTCTTCTTCCCGCGTCGCCAACCCCATTCTCACCTGCCATGACTTGCTGTTCCTCAGTAGGTCGGGTCAGTTGACGGGATACTCGGTTGCCTAAGGTTTGCCCAACGGTCGCTCATGAGGCTCCGCCACCCCTACACCCCGGCCTCACGCCTCCTTCGGTTGGCCGCTGGCAATGTCTTGCCAGTCTGCTACAGCATCCCCCTTTATCCCCGTGGTTCCATTTCCTTCCTCGGAGTCACCGAGCCATCCCTCTCACGTTTTTAAGGTCCTGCGCGTGACCTTGACATCCCACACCCTGTCCATAACATCATACAGCGGTGCCCAATCTCATCCCAAAAGCATATCACATGCAAGCCAGGGTGCAAGGCCCACCAATAACTCCCCGTGATGCTCCATAACTTGGAGATGTGTCCATACTTGGCATATAGCCTGGGTTTCCCCATACAGGCACGACACCCTCACTAGTTCTATTTGACAATTGTGGATGTCTGGCAAAAGATCGGCCTTAATCAATGACTGAGCACACCCGGAATCTAACACAGCCCACACCAGGCAACCCTCAACCCAGGCCCTCACCACAGGGCGCCCCCATACTGGGCTTTCATCCCCCCATCCCAAAATTACAGTCCATGGGCTCCCCTTGAACAGGTTCTTTGGGGAACTCGACCATCCCTCGCTGGGAGCTCTGCATCTGCCACCTCTCAGGGGTCTGCCCCGGACACTCCCGGGCAAAATGTCCCATCCAGCCACAATGGTAACATACCATGTCCTCTCCTGGGGTCCTATACCCGGCTCTTCACTGCTATGCCTCCCTTCTTTGGCCAGAAGCGCCACCAGTAGTGCTCTGGGCTGATCTCAAGGTGATACAGAATAGCAGTTTTAACTGCCTCATAGTTGGGCTTCTTCTTGGGTCAAGGCCTGATAGGCTGCCTGGGCCTTACCTACCACCAAGGCTCCCAGCTGGC